GTCTTCGTCTGAGTGATAATTTTATTAAATGTTAAATTTATTGTTACTGAACAAACAGGTAGACAATATAGTGACCAGTCTGTCAGTAAAACAGATATTTTAGGACAGGGAAAGTGCTTTAGCCGTAGTTCGGTTAAAACACATTCCCATTCTCAAAATATCTGTTTACTGACTTGGCAGGAATATTGGTCGCATTATGAACCATAATATTTCTGTCCAGGGTAAAATTGGGCGAGAGGTTTTTGTAACAGTGTAACTACTGTTTGTTGGGTGACTGAGAATGACGTCAGAATTTTTTCGCTCACTACGCCACCCTCCAAGACTTCAAAAAGCTGTTCCGGATCTCTCTTTTTCCAATTTTATTAAAGAAGTAGTACGATCATGCATTAATGGATACTGTTTATCTCAGGCAACCATCTTGATATCTTACTCCTGTCGTAGTACAGAAAAGCGGGTTAAAGTTACTCCCTCTTGTTTTTCCGCGTTGTTTAAGAGTTAGCCGAGGGTGTATTTTACATGATGTCGCAAATATTTAGAGATGAGCTCTGACTTTATCCACAATGCGTGACGAGTCAGAGATATTAGATTTGAATAAGTAAGTAAATAATAATGAAATAAGTAAATGTATATATTTTCAAAAGAGCGAGTGACAATTTTCTATAATTTGCTGCATTAATTATAGTAGTACATCGCTGAACATTTACTTTTTTTCCTAAATTAGTAGTACCAAAACTAACAGAAAGCGAGACAGGAATTCCAAGAACCAACCTGAACAGTTGTGGCCATTTCCAATGTACCCTGGTTTGCAACTACAGTTGAAGGACCCTTCGATGTTGGTGCAGGTGGCCTTTTTGCTACAATTGTGAGAGTTGTTCAGGCATTCGTCTTCGTCTGAGTGATAATTTTAGTAAATGTTAAATTTATTCTACCAGAACAAACAGTTAGTTAATATAGCCACCAGTATAATATAACAATATACTTCACGGTTAAAACACATTTCCTTTCTCGCAGTGGTTTCAGAACATGACATCAGTCACTTCTCAAACTAAGGCGAAATGTTGTAAATGGATTTTAAAAAAGCCAAAGAATTTTACCTGTACAATTGTATCCATCTCCTTCGTACCCTGGCTTACAGGAGCAAGTGAATGATCCTTGGGTATTATGGCACAGAGCTTTCTGGTGACAGTTTTTAAAATCTGTGTGACATTCGTCTATGTCTGAAACAAAATTGCAATAAATTGGCACTAAAGAAGGGGAAATTAGCATAAACACTTCATTCTATATAATAGACATATATAGCATAATCAAGTCCTTTCAGCCAGCAAACATGCCCTCCCTATATATCTCTAAATGTTTTGTCTCTCCCCCGACGAAAAAATAAGGAATGCTTGATCATCAGTTTAAGTCCCACTGAAGAAATTGCGTAGCAAAATGACTTTTTTGTGGTTGAAAGAACGCGCATCCCTCTCACGCTTGTTCCACCTGTTAGAGAAAAAACAACAACAAAAAACAAACTTAAGTATTGGTTGGAAAAGTGGAACATTCGCAGAGTATCATTCCAGTATAATTGTAACTGTCTCCTTCGAATCCTGGTTTGCAAAAATGGTTTTAAGATCCATCGGTATTGTTACTTAATGCGTTAAGGTCACATCCGTGATTTCCTTGTGCACATGTCTAAAAATTAAATTTCGGCCAGTCATTGAATTGATTGCCTGCACTTTCAGATTACATTATATGGCTTAGTATTGAGTTCTTACCTTTTTGACAGCGCTTACCCCTAAAACCAGGAGGGCACAAACAGCGATATCTTTCTACTGTGAACCCGGATTGACAGGTTCCTCCATTTAAACAATTGAACTCTTCACAGGCATTCTTAAACGAGAAACAGAGAACATAGTAAATGAAGCAAACGAGTAGCTGGATGATTAGGGTGAGGTGATATAATCAGCAGAAATTTTGCTTTTCACCTTAAGAAGAAGAAGAAGAAGAAAATTCAACGAGAAATGGTGTTGACGATCATGATGTTGACGGTGATGATGATGATAATGATGATAATGTTGATGATGATGATATTGGTGATGATGATGATGATGATGTGGAGGAGGAGGAGGAGGAGGAGGAAGAGGAGGAGTAAAAGACGGGAGGGGAAGGAGAGCAGTTAACAAGAAATAACTTACATCTGCTCCATGATAGAGGTAACCATTTTCATCTTTGAACTCGTTATTATGCCATCGATGAGTAGCGTTGTTCAACTCACATGTTTTTGTGCTCACATGATAGTTGACACTCACGCAGTTGTGTTCATAGTAACAATGCAGCTTGCAGTTCTCAAAATCAGCAACAATTTTAGTTCCTATAGTGTGGTTCACCAAACGCTTGCTAATAAAGGAGAAAGGTCCTGGGAACTCTAGCGTACGACCATTATCTGAACAATAAAGAAACAATGGCTTCGTAATTTTATGGGTAAAAAATACTACTTGTGCGGGAGTTTTCCCCTGAGGTTCCCTTCGGGGTCTTTGTCTTAGAACAGGGACCTACGTGTAACTGATGTTTTTATTTTAGCAGTGGGAAGAGAGCCCCAACTTTGAAGAGGAACTTACATGTTCCCCGTCGCTTAATTCCCTCTACTGCAAGTTAATTTCCGCTAATAACATGTGCAGAAAATAAGAAATTTCAGACATGCAAATTCAGAGATCAATTAATAATTAAGTGTTCTGGTTACAGTCAACTCTCGCCTTGCGGACACCCCACTATTACGGACACCCCGATAAAACGGACGGTAGCTAAATCCCGGGCAAAAACAAAATACAGATGTTTGACTGAAATAAACTCTCACTACAGTCAACTCCCTTTACAGCGGACACTACAGTGAGAGTTTATTTCAGTCAAACATCTGTATTTTGTTTTTGCCCGGGATTTAGCTACCGTCCGTTTTATCGCGATCGGGGTGTCCGTAATAGTGGGGTGTCCGCAAGGCGAGAGTTGACTGTATTACGGACTCTCGCTAATGAGGACACTAACTCGAGGTCCCTGTAGTGTCCGCTGTAAAGGGAGTTGACTGTATAGGCAGTCAAAATGACAACAAATAAAAGAGAATTCTAGTTGCACTGTTGTTTTCAAACAATTCCTTCCCATGTTGTTAATATTGCAATCCACCTTCTTATTGGCCAAAGAACTTAACGTTAGCAAAGAAATTATTTGTGAATGACAAGATCACTGCTTCATTGCAAACAAATATGTCTTCCAAGCATTAATTACATCAAACGTTACAGATCGAACTTTGAAAAACTAAATAACCGGTACTATAGGACTGAATTATAGCGAACTAACTAAGCTCCAGTACAGGGATAAGCGGAAACCAAACTTCCCTCCAACTAAATGGTGCAGCCACAAAGAGAAAATTGTGCTGATTCGAATGGAGGCTGATGTAACAGTATATTTATGGACAATTTCAAGTCTTAATTATTTCATGCAATGCTCAACTTAACTGTTAAAATTCGTCGAAGGAGTTTTCATGACTATCGGTAAACTATCAGTAAAGTAACCCGGGTCCGATTTTATGATTCCCACCAGGCAAGAGCCATTATGGATCTTGCACAAGGAGAATGAAATCACGCTTTTGGAAATAAATAAAAATATATGGCAGAGAAAAAAAGAAGAGAAAAGAAGTAGAGAATGGTCCTGTTTTAGTCTTCATTTTTAGCTTGCCAAGAAACAAGGACTGAACTGTCATTCAAGGCCTTAACAAATGGGATCCTCTTTCATCCTTTTGACAGTCCAGGATCGTTATCAAATTTGATAACCATGTGACGTCACAACATGGTGGCCATTTCAAAAGTCGGGAATTTTCGTACTCGGGCTTTATCCGAGATTTTGTCCGATCTTATTCAGTGTAAACTCGTCAGATACCCATGGTTCTGTTCGTCAAGGCCCAGGAGCTTCACATGTTTCAAAAAATGGCAGATGTGTATCACTCGTATTGAAGTAAATTTCCCTCTCAAAGTGAATCGTCCATCAGATTTTTGTTCCGAGATTTTCAGTTGTTATTTAATGTACTTGTTTTTTGTACAAAAACGCTATCCACCCATCCAATGTTTGTTGGGGAAAAAGGGGCTGTGTAATGCGCTTTCAATAATGTTTTTTGATTGATGTCGCCAGATTATGTCCAGAAGAAATTTCAAAGTCTCTGTGGCAAGATCGTTTCAAATACCTCCAGACCAAAGGAAAAAATTAAAAAACAATACTATTTAATGTTGGGACGACAGTACCCTATCAATCCATAGGTTTTTATATCGCCTGAGGAAATTCTTCCGTTCCCTCGCCAAAATGCCATTCACTTGGGAGAGGAAAGCAAATATGCAAGACCTACGCAAAGGAAGACCTAGTAAGAAGAGAAAGCGATTGGTTTCTGGAAATCAAAGCGGCACAGATAGCGGGGAAAGAGCCTGATGATGAGTCAGAGAAAGAGTCTTGCAACCTGTTCCGGTGAACTTTCAGAAAATCTACATCGTCTTGACATAGAACTGGCAAGAGAGCTTTGTCAGAACATTTGCTCTCTCTTTGGGTTAGTATTTATTATTCCTGTTTTCTTCAGTAAAAAACCTTGGAAGGAAGTTCATTTTACAGTTGGTTGAGACAATAGTTTGCCTCGAAAGAGAGAATCGTAAATGTGACAATGTTGATTTGAGTTACAAAAACATTGATAATTTATTGAAAGTAACTCCAGAATCCTGGCTTTCTTCAACATACAAATTCGCCTTTGAAAAGTGCATTCAGTGGCTTGAGTGATGACAGAACCAAGCCTGTCAAAAAAGTTATGGCAGTAGACCACATGCAAAGTTTGGTGAAGCTCAACTCTCAACTTTATAAGCCCAGTCATGTTTGGAGCCAACCTTGTAATGTACTTAACAGCACGGAGTAGAATGGCTGATAGTATTTATTAGAAACGTCATCCGGGTGCACAGTACAAAGTTATGAAATACTGGTTGAATGGGCTGACGATGGAAATTCCTGCCATGCCAAAGAATGACATTTTGACAGCAATTGATAATGACCAGGTTCTGTTAAAGAAGTGGACTGTTCGTAAGGATAACCATAGCCAGATGAGCATCTTGACAAGTGGGTGTTGTGCAGAAGTTGGCTCAGGTGATGCAGATTTGCAAACGGATGAGAAGCTTGAACCAAGGTAATGAAAACACTTTGTGAAGCATTTCTTTGATATTATTACCTACTGCCCTTGACCATGCCTTGGGCTTTGGAATTTCTACTGTTTTGAAAATGTCACTGCCAATTCTCCAAATTCTGGCAATTTCCAGTTCAGCGGGGATGGGAGTAGGCCAGCAGTTGAACTCCTTATATGTGCATGTTCACATGTACAGTTTTCTTGTACACTGTATGTGTACATGTATAGTTGTGGTTCAATGTTATCCTGGTCTGGATTTTAATTTTTCTTTGTTTTATTTATTTATTTATTTTTTTGATATGTGATAATGAGATTGTAACAAAGGAAAGTAAAATTTAAACCAAGGACAAAAAGAATCAACAAGAAAATGGGGGCAGAGTAACTGTGTGCCTGTGACTGCCCTTTAAAGCTTTAATACTATATGTTCTACATGACGCTAACTTTGTATTTTACATTTGTATACAGTATGTGTTTTTAGAAGTGCTGTAGTTTTAAGTCATTTTTGAAGACGTGACGTTAACATTTGTAATTTACAGAAAATGGTGCAACAGACTGGCAGGGGCAAAGGTTAACTCTCCTGAGAGACAACGACTTATTGACGATTACTCTGCAACAGCTGATGATGTCCTAATATTGCAAAAAAAAGGGAATCATGAAGGGCTTTATTAA